CCTGCTGAAGCCTGAGGTCAAGTACCAGGAGTTATGCAGCACTCCCAAGGAAAAGGATTGTACTTTCCAATTGCACAGAAGATTACTTGAGCTAAAAGGTTATGCCTTTCTGGAAGGCACTCTACCAAGTGTGTTGACTTGAGACTAGAAAACAATCCTTTGAAAGTCAACCTGTTAACAGAAGATGATAGTACACAATATAACATCTCATATGCCTGGAGTTACTCTCACATACCTTACTGTGACAGACTAAAGTATCTATAGCTCGATGTTCAGGAACTTGGATATCATCTGAAGAAAAAAATGTATACATCAGGGGATGGAGGAGTATTTAGGACTACCAGACTTGTTTTATAATGTTAGTTCTGATGAAGGATAATTTGATATCTTCACATTGATCATCTTGAGAAAGGACATTTTTCAGTGTCACAGCTCAGGAGGGCTCTCAAGGTGTGTGTGTTCTACAATTGGTCACTGGCATCACCTTTGCTACACTTAAACTTATGAAGATTTTTTGGTGCAGACAAAACTCGCTTGCCAAGGATTTGCAAGTGCACTGTCTTTAAAGGATCTTGTCTTGCTAATTAATGATGGGAAGGGTGATAGTTCATCTGTATTGTGTAGAGATAAAGAGAAGTTGTAAATGTGCATTGGAGATTGTAATAGTTTTCAGGTTATCTCACTTACATGTAACAAAAATGAGCAATTGCTATAACATGGTCATATTCTACCTTAGTAGTATGTAAAAACTTAATTTAAGCTTTGTAAAGGACATAATAGACTTACCTCATGCCTTACTTTTGTTCAGGTCCTGTGTACTGTAACACCACACAGTAAGAGCTTACTAAGAATATTGACCTTTGCAAAAGGTATGACACTCAACTAATATTAGACCTTGGGTTTGATCCAGTGTCTCTTCCTGTGCTTTTCTGTAAAGGCCTCTTTTGGGGATAGGAACTTTTTTCTTCCTTTTGGAGAAGTGGTAGTGCTATGTTTCCAAGGGATAATTTTCTGGAAAAGATCACAGTCTTGGTTGCATTGAACAAGTCTGATGGTTGCTGGGGAGAGCCTGCAAGATGTTCTAGCTGACCCTTGGACTTGGGTCCTCTGTTTGGTGATTCCAGCCCTAAGGGAGCACAGCAGTAGGTTGTTAAGGCTTTCTGAGTTAAAGGGAAGGATTTTATGAGAGACAAAATTTCAGATAAGATTTTAAAACTGTACTGTGTGCCCCTGTGCTGGCAGGGGGCTGCAGGAGGCTCCTTGTGAGGAGAAGCTGGGGCTGCCTTGTGGTGGACATTGCCAGTTCCAGCCGGCTCCAGCTGGCCTCCATAGGGCACAGCTGAGCCCCCCAGCCAAGGTGATAGTGTCTCTGGGGAAGCATATTTAAGAAAGGAGAAAGCTTTCCTCAGAGAGAACTAAAAGGAGTGACAAACAGTGTTGGGAACATCAGTGTCAGAGGAGGAGGTGCTCTGTGGTTGAACTGCAGCCCACAGAGAACCCCCACTGGCATAAAGAGAAGAGTAAGAAGAAGCAGTAGAGAGAAACCATTATATAGTGACTGTAAACACCCACCACCACCACGCTGTGCTGCTTGTTGCCTCACTGAAGGGACTGAGTGTGACCTGTAGGGAGAAGTTTGGAATGAATATGAGCTGGGGAGGAAAGGTATTTTTTCAAAGCATTTTAATGTTTGCTTCTTTTTATTTTGTTTCTGTTTCCAGTAACTGAGTCAGTAAATAAATATTTCAAGTAATTGGCAGTAAATGCAGTTAATTTTCCTCAAGTTGAGACTCTCTTGCTTACAGCAGTAGTTGGTAAGTGATCTCCTAACCCTGTGAACTCTAATTCCTGTTCTTCCCATTTTTTCCCCCAATTTCATCCTGCTGAGGAGAGAGTGAGCAAGTATCTGGGGGGTGTTTGGCTGCTAGCCAAGATCAACTCACCACAGAAACTAGAAGTGATTCAGTCTTGACCCAGGATTTAATCCGTTTTACCAGCAAGCAAAGGAGCAAGATTACATGTATGTGTTCTGGCTCTGTTTCAGGCAAGCCCAAGCATGCTTTTTGCTCAGACTATCTGGGAGCCATATGAGTGTTATCTACCACCATTCTGAACAGCAGGTAGGGGAAAGTTTAAGGATACTGAAAAGTAGCCTTAAAATAAAATATTCTGTGTCTGCTGTTGATGATAACAGACTGTGCAGTTTGCAATTTTAAATGGTTAAGAGGACATGGAGGCTTTACCATCAGATCCTTCTTAAAAGGTCTGATATTGTTTGTAGCAGGTTAGCAAGAGATAACATAGCCAAGCTGCTGATATACTTGCAGATGTAACCGTGGTAACAGTGTAGTTAGGATGTGCTTCCCTATTCTGTGCACAAGGTTAATTTGCGTAGAAAGAAGCTCTTCGTGTTGGGAATACTGGGGAGACAACTCCAAATATGCTAAATTTAAGTTTGCCATTAAGAGTAATGTTTGTTCTTTGGTTTGTAAACATCCTTTAGATGTTTTGGTCTGTAAAACTTTAGAAGTGAGATTAATGACTCTTAACTAGCTTTATTGTTTATGATTTTACAACCAACCCATCTCGTCCTTGATTTATGGTTTACAAACCACTTGAAGATGTATTTGGGGTGAATAAATATGTAATTTGGGGACTCCCATTTAAATAAATCAACTTTTTAAAAGTGTTTTGAGTCATCACTCATTTTTGTAGTAAAGGTTGTTGTTGCTCTTTCTAAGATTAGATGTTACAGATACTCCCCTATATTCTCTTATGTGTAACTGTTTTGTCCTGGGAAGTAAATATCTTGATTTATCTACTACTTCTCTAATTAAAGAGTTTGAGTTAGTCAGGACCATTGCATATAATTGATTTTACTGTTCATCTTTGTTTTACAATTAACTAAATATAAAGGGAACAAATAAGTTTATACTGCCACTCCATCTTGGATTTTTAAATATCTTTTGAAGTTGAAAGAAAGCATACAACAGCAGTCTACTGCCATAATCACAAATAATTTCCTGTACAATTAAATAGTTGGAAAGCTGGCTCTTGGTGCTCTTCCCACCACAGAAAGAAGAAGAAAAAGGTTGAGATGAACCCTCTTGGGCAGGCACTGCTGAAGCTTAGTTGATTGTGGCTTTCCAATTCCCTTTGTCTTTGCATCCTTCAGAACACCACAGGCCATGTTTAAAAGGTCTCCAAATGGGCAGAACACAGATCTGTGATTCTTTTGGTAGTTTTTATCACTTCATAATCAGTTTTTCTTCATCCATCTTTTATGGAACAGTTCTTAAAGAAATAGCATCTGTTCATGCTGAATGGTGAAAAATATGTACAGTGTCTCTTTAAGTATTGTTGTAACTAGAAGCTTTGTCTAAAGTTGAGGCAGAAGAGTTGTCTGACCTAGAAAATTAAGTTGTTTTGGTAGAAATAACTTGTGGAGGTATTTGTTTATTTGTTACAACTATGGAATTTGGCACAATCTTGTTGGTCATAGGATAATTTCAGTGTTCCACACTTACTTTCTTTTCCTCTGTAAGGATTTTCAAGACCACTTACTAGCATTGCGGTAGTTGAGAGAACATTATGAGAATTTATACTCAGACCAATAGCCATATTTTTTTTTCTGTTTTGTAGGTACTGACAATACAGTTCTTTATCCAAGGAGAGTGTACACAGTGAATCTTCCTCCAGAAGGTTACGTTGCAGTTACTCCAGATGCTGTTAGCACCACAGTTTCTGAAAACTTAGACCGCAGTGGTGACTCAACAGGTAAGTTTGTATAAGTGTCATTATGATGCATTTCTTCAAGAAACTTCGTAGCAACTCTTACCAAATAGATCAAAGTTGCAACAATTAAACTGTTGCTACCAGTGGGTGTCACTGTTTTGCAACATAAGCAAAATGTGGATGTACATCCCTATGGGTTCATTTCCATTTGAGTTTGAAGACCAGTTTGGTTACAGCCCTACAGTGTCACTGAACTTACCAAAAGTAAAACTGAAGGAAATATTCAGCTCCTCCCAGTCAAGTGCCACGTATATGTTCATATTATGCCTATTTGCAGTCATTATTTTGAAGTGTAAATGGTAGATAAAGCTATTTTAATAAGCCTCACTACTGATGTTCTTGAGGAATTGAGCAAAGACTTAACAACCTTTCAAATGTCTGTCTTCCAGTTAGAAGAGACATTGACCTGATTTGAGTTGATGGGAGGAGATACCAATTAATTACAGTTGAGAGGCTTTCTGATGAGAAACTGTGACCTGGTAACTTGAGAGCCAATATTTAGTGTTGTCAGATGATACAAGAGGAACACCACAGGGTCTGTAAAGAATTGTTCTTTAAGTTTGCTTCAGTTAAAAATATGGTGTTCTGAATGATGTTGCTAGAATTCAGTTGATTCTGTCTTAGAAGTCTTAAAAAAACTACATTAATTAGTCTTGGCTTCAATTGCTGTGTTTCTGTGGATATGCATTTGTTCAAAATTGTGTAACACTGTCATCTGCTGCTAGGAGCAATCTACAGTAAAGCAAATACCCAAGTCAGCCTGCTGAAATAAAACACTTGATAAACAGTATTAATTAAACTACTATATCTATTTCAGCCTGGAGACTGCCTAAATGTAAGGAAAACCTGGGATACGATGTGCAGATACTGAAAGGCAAATGCTTCTTGCCTTTGAAAGCAGTATTTTCCTTTCTTGTGTTTTTTTATTTCCCTGGCCAATTTCAGCTCAAGCTTTTGCTTTTCTAACTGTATCTGTGCATGCCCTGCATGCCTCCTTTGATTTTGAGCAGACTCAGAAGCTTGCATTAAAGCCAAGAGGGTCTCTTGATCTGCCTAGTTCCCTTGCCTGTAAAGAGGCTGAACTGTTTCTGTGCTTCCAGGAGAGTGTTCTTAAAAAATTTCCAGCACTCACTACCTCTTTTATCATCCGTGGAAGCATCCCACGGAATCCTCCCCACTGAGCTCTAGTGATCTGACATTCATTCTTGTAACATCTAAAACCTTTGTCTTAGTACTAACCTTAAGTGTTGTCAGCCAAGATCCCAAACTCCACAATATTGTGATCACTGCAGCCAAAGCTGTCACTAATTGAGATGTATTACCAAGCAGGTTTTCTTGGTTAGTGAGCAGTGAGTCCAGCAGTGCCTCATTCCTCATTGGAACATACAACGTTTGTATGAGGAAAGTCCTTGATACGTTCCAGGAACTTGATGGATTACATCTGAGCTGCTGTATTGTTCTTCCAGTAAATGTCTGGGTATTTGAAGTAATCAGTAAGAACCATATTCTGTTGACCTAAAGCCTGCTTAAGTGATCCAAGTATTTCTTTTTTGGCCTTAGTGTCTTGCTTTGGAGGTCAGTAGCAGATTCCCACTGTAAGATCCTCCTTGGAGATGGCCCCTCTAATCCTGACCTGGGAGCATTCAGCAGGGCTTCTACAGTTGCTGTAGTTGACTTCTATGTATTGAAGATTCTTTTTAACATAGAGCTTGACTCCTCCTCCTCTTCTCTGTCTGTCTCTACAAAACAGCCTGTAGCCATCCATTGCAATCCTCCAGTTGTGTGAGTTGTCCCATCATGTTTCAATTATGGCTATATCATTGGATCCATATAATTCCTATATAATTTGACCCAGAGCTCCAATTCCTCCTGTTTGTTCCCCAGGCTGCATGCATTGGCTTGCATACACATGAGGTGGTTGATCTGGTTTTCATCCTAGGAGGCAGCTAGGGAGCCTGTGTCGCTGCTCTGGTTGGCCTGGCTTGTAATACTGGAGAGTAGGGACTGAGGCAGAGTCCTGCTTTTATGGGTCATTAGGGTCCAAGATGCATTGTTTTCTGTTGTGTCCGCCACAGGAGTATGGTTCTGAAACCACTTATCTCTGTCTTGACCCCTGTAACATTTTGCAGACTTTGAGCATTTCCTACAACTTGTCCTCCTGGCGCAGCAGATTATCAATCTGTGCACATCTTTTGCAGGTAGTTACCTTTTTCTCCAGGAGAAGGGTCTGTGCACTCATTGGCAACCTACTATCAACCTACTGAAGTTTCCTTCCTTACCATTCCATCTGGGTGGAAGCATCAGACATCTCAGGGGCTTTACCTGTAGAAACACTGGTTTTAACTCTGAGGCAATTCTCTATTATGGCAAAAACCTAGAGCTAAGTATGGGCCAGCATTCTTAAGATAACACATTAGACTTGGATGTCTTAATTTTTAAAAACTCCCTTTACTGTTTTGGAAGAATTGAGCCATTGCGATGGTGTGATCATGTCAACCTTTTGTTGACTGAATTAACAGGAATTAGACAGTCAAGAAAGGCAATAATTTGATAATTTCTTCAATTTTTCATATGATTTTTGTATTTACTTTGGTGCATGTTAAAGCATTCCTAACTTTATTTCAGCAATATACCTTATATATTTGACAAGGGCATTAAAAATGTGTAGTGTTCAACTACAGATAACTAACGAACTATCAAATTCTGGTTTTTACTCAAAGAGTGGTCAAACATTGAAACAGGGAAGTGCTTCCCTGCCCAGGGAAGTGGTGGAGTCACTATCCCTGGAGGTGTTAAAAAACATGTACATGTGCCACTTCAGGAAATGGTTTAGTGGGTGTGGTGGTATTGGGCGTGATGATCTTACAGGTCTTTCCAACCCTAGTGATTCTATGGTTGTCCATCTGTAGTGTCTTGATTCACTTACTCGTTTGGGCAGCCATTTTAGGACGAGTTAATAATGCTTAAGCTTGTGTTTGTTGTTAAGGAGATGGAGAGATACTAGTATGAGTCATGTGTTGGCTACTTATGTTCTCGGCAAGTGGTTGGGAATGCAATACATTCAGATACGTTACAGAACTGATATAATCAGCAGCACATCGAGGGAACAATGTATTTAAAGAAGCTAAGTTTGGCAGCAAACCTTTTTCACTGGTAGGTAGCACCCCTTGTGAAACTTGAGTATTATTAATCTCTTTTCTAGCCTTCAAGCCAAAGGGATCATTAGACTTTGTAATTTAATTCTCTGTACTTGTTAAGAGAGGTCTTACCCCATATTGAACTTAGTGTTTGGAAAAATGAAAACAAACAACAAACAAACCAAAAAACACCACCATGCATGTTCCAAAGATGTCACAGATCTTCCGATGTTTTATGTTGATTTGCTCTAATAGTTAGTTGGCCTCACACCATTAAAAAAAAAAACAAAACAGAAAATTGCTTTTTTCTGCCTTCCTCTATTTGAGTAAAGAGCCTTTATTTTCTTCCCACAAAGCACAGTGATCCAGTCACCATCTATCTTCTTTTATTAGAAAAACAGTGACTTATTTATTGCTCCAAGTTATTTACTTAAATCCTCAACTTGCTTTTGTAGCTCTTTTACGTATCTCCCTTTTCGCAGCATCCTTTGAAGACTGAACTCCAGTACTTCATCTAGTATTTGCGGTTTGAACGAGGCCACATGTTGAAATAAGTCTTTGTATTTCTACCCACTACTGGGTTTTTTTGTATGTCAAAAAATTACATCAACATTTTTCTGCCACAGCATTCCACCAAGGACTCTTGTTTAATACTTTGATACCTTGGCTATTGCCAAGTCTGTTGCTTGAAAATGTTTCCTCTTGAGCAACTGTGCTTGACCATATTTTTAAAAATACTTGGCTTAGAGTCTGGAGGTCTTCTTTGTCTGTTTTTGTTGTTGTTTGTTGTGGGTTTTTTTAAGAACTAAGTTACTGATTACCGCTCATGTATAACTTCCCTGTTCTCATTGATTTTTCTGATATAAATAGTAATTCTAACGTTAGTCACTGATGAAAAAGAGAAGTAACTGCAATCTTCCTGCTAGTACCTGCAGAACTGGGCTTTTTAAATTGAGAGTTCAGGGCTTTTTTTAAGTAATCTCAAACCATAGAGTCATACAGTCATTTAGGTTGGAGAAGACCCATAAGATTTTAAAGTCCAACTTTTAACTTTACCAAAGCCACTGCTAAAGTGCATAAGTGTGCATAAGTACTACATCTACATGACTTAAACATGTCTCGACATGGTGACTCCACCTCCCCAGGCAGCCTGTTCCGGTACTTGGCAACCATTTCTGCGAAGAAATTTTTCTTAATATCCAGCCTAAATAACTTGAAGCCATTTCCTCTCATCCTATCGCTTGCTACTTGTGAGAAGAGACCAGCACTTGCCTCTCTGCAGCCTTCTTTCAGGTAGTTGTAAAGAGCAATAAGGTCTCCCCTTAGCCTTCTCCAGACTAAATAGCCCCAGCTCCCTTAACCTCTCTCATAAGACTTTCATCCTCAAAACCCTTCACTAGTTTTATTGCCCTTCTCTGTACCCACTCCAGCACCTCAGTGTCTTTCTTATGCTGTGGTGCCCAAAACTGCACACAGTCCTTAAGGTGCAGCCTCACCGGTGCCGAGTACAGGGGAACAGTCACCTCCCTAGACCTGCTTGCTACACTATTCCTGATGCAGGCCAGGATGCAGTTGGCTGCCTTGGCCATCTGGGCACACTGCTGGCACATATGCAGCCAGCTGTCAATTAACACCCCCAGGTCTCTTTCTGTGAGTGGCTTTCCAACCACTCTTCCCCAAGCCTGTAGTGTTACATGGGGTTGTTGCATCCTAAGTGCAGAACTCAGCACTTGGCCTTGTTGAATCTCATACAATTGGCATCAGCCCATCAATCCAGCCTATCTAGATCCCTCTGAAGAGCCTTCCTACCCTCAGGCAGATCAACACTCCCACCTAACTTGGTAT